GTCTTGGGTCGGTCTCGAAACGATCCAGTTTTTTCGAACTTCACCTGAATAGTCTTGAATAGTCTTAGACCGGTCTTTTTTCGGTTTGAATAAGACATGTTTTTGGCGCATCTCTAAAGTAAATCCAAAACATAGATGAAAGGGTTAATAAATAACAAATATATCTATTTCAAATTGTAATAAGTCAACTTATATTTTTTCAAACCCTTAATGGATAGTTTCTAACCTTTTAAATAAATATTTTTTATTTACTATTATAATTATTTATTTAATAAGATTTAATTTATTTGTCAAAAATTAATATTAAAAATTAAAACTTCTACCTTAATTTGTTACATAGTTAAAGACAAAAACATAAAAAGACTAAAAGAAATATAAATTGATCAAATGTTTTTATCAAAGCAACTAAAGGTGACCAATCAAAATTTTAAACCATAAAAAGCAGTAAGGAAAATGTGTAATATTTAGAAAAATTATGTAGAAAACAAAGGGATGCAAATTTGACTTTTATAAAATTTGGTGGCAAGCTCAAAATCAAAAGAATGAACGCGGTGGTGGGTTGGCGCCTTGTCAAGCACATCCTTAACCAATTTGACTTTGACTTATAAGCAGGTCCCACAAGTAGCTTCAAACTCAGCAACACGTGTCCATATGTAGTTTCCACCTCAGCAACGTGGACCCAACTAAAATTTCCTGGCAACTGCCTTCAACGTAATTACCCTGCGGGGTTTACGTCTCTCTAGTCTCTACCACTTTGAGAAATTAATCCAACACTTTTGTTACTCAAAGTACTAATATATGAATGACTAAAGTTCTCTAATTAATGTTATTTCAATTTATATAATAAATAAATATAATTTTTAAAAAATATCTTGAAATATGAAAGATACTTTGAATTCAGGGCCCCTGATTTGGAGATGTTTTCCTACGTCTTTATCAAAACATTTTCGAGAATTAATTGTTGGCTTTGTACTCCTTCAATCAAATTTATGTCCTATCTGAATTTACACATTTTTTATATGCATGTTATAAGCATATAATCTCGGTTAATAATTAGGTAACGCTAATTTTAGTTCTAGGATCATGGTTTATCGACTTTTTATCTGCATGCTAGTATTATCTTTTGATGACTTTAATAAAGCTATATTTGATTCTTTGATATCGGACACTCAGTTTATAAAATAATTTATTTTTTATGTATTTTTAGATTGTTACGTTTGATAAACAAAAAAAATAGAATATAAACTAAAATTTTAAATACCTACTCACATTAATATTTCAATGAACTTAGTAAGCTTTATTTATTTATTTATTAATTATTATTCTTTTAAATGTACTCTTTATTAATTAAAAAAACGCAATTTTCAATATGTTATTTTATGTTATTTTAGCTAAGTTAATTTTACCAAACGATTTTTATCAACTAAGTTTTTAATTGTCAACTAGCTACGTAATAAAAAAACTAAAAAGTAAAGGATATAATGTTCGATAATTATTGCATTGGTTTTAGCAACAAACGCTATGCATAAAACAACATTACTGTGTCCAAAAATATAACGACATTAAGTTACTAACGATAAGTGCTTGTTGCTAAAGACTTCTAAAATTTAAACAAACATCCTAATAATGAAAACAACATATAAATATATAATTACAGCTCAAGACAAGAAGATATTTTGAACTCTATGAGCAGCAAATATAATAGTATTATCATTATTTACACTATTACGAATATAACTTTTAATCCTTATAAATAGGCTTCAAATATAGAGGCTATACATTACTTAGGAGTCACGATCACATGGTGATCAAGAGGGTAACGTTTGCTAGGGTCATATAAATGTCAACATATGTACAAAATCTAAAAACCAATTTGATATTTGTGATTATCTACTCGTCCACTTGATATTTCTTTACTCCAATTTGTAATGTTTATCAACTCGACCTCGCAAAGGACACAATAAATAAATATTCTAACGATATTTCTTTTGAGATTTAATTTATTGATATCTTATCCAGCTGAGATATGTATGAATACTTATCTCTTATGTTTGATGCATAAAGTCTTATATTTTGAGGTCTTCATATCAATATCATTATTGAATGGTTCATCTTTATTTTATAATATTGTTTATTCAAATAATGTTTAACATTTTGATAATTCCATTATTTTTGCTTTAAAACATTGTGATATGTGCAGGGACGTATTCATACAAACTTTCAAAATGGACAAACTTAGAACAATAGATATATTTTATATAAATAAATAAATAATAGTGTTTTTTAAAACGAATAAATCTAATTTACTTATGTTCTGTTTCTTATATGACACCTAGCTTATACAAAAAATAAGTACGATAAATAGTTATACATCAGTTTTTTGGCAATTGAGAAAGACGACATTTCATAGTCTAAATTCTTTTATTACACTGCCATTTACAAAAATTTAAGACACATTTTTTCTAGATTTATTAACCAAACAAACCCGCAATTGAGTCTTCATTATTTTTCATTGTTGAAAATGATCTTTCAACTGAAGCTACTGAATATGCCATACAATTATGTTCACAACTGACAACACTTCTTAGATTTCACTTTGCGAGGTGTTTTGTCCGGTAACTAATGCAAATGGTCCACCCAAGCCTTGAGATTTTTTAGTGAAAGTGGTTTTATGTGCATGAAGAACAGTGATACTTTATGTTTCCACTACCTTGAATGATTATTTTAGCAGTCACCACGTTTTCCTTAAGCCATATATCCACAAACATAAGATTTTTTTTGTAGTTATTTTTTTTTAATCATAGCGGTTTCCTTTGCTTCTCAACTTTGTGTTTTGCTTCTTCTTGTTAGCATTATTATCTTACTGTACCTTTTTTTTGGGTACTATCTTTAGCTCTTTAGCAAGGTTTAGTGTGATTAACTTTCCTATTTATTTAGTTTTTTTCTTTCTTTCTAATTGTACATTTTTTTATACAATAATGAAATAGTAGTCTTATTTTGTTTCTATTGTTCATTAGTTTATATAGTGATCTTCATGAAGAATTGCCCATGTCTCATCCTCCACGTATTGCTCGCCGACCGGTGAACTTTGTCGGCTTCAGAAAGTTTTGAATGGTCTAAAACAAGTCTCTCGTGCTTGTTTGAAAAGTTCTTTATAGTGACGATTTCACTTGGTTTTATCCTAGTAATCATGATTCAACATTATTTGTTAGATGTACAAGTGCAGGTCGGATTCTTCTATCATTATATGTCGATGAAAAACTTAGGCTTAATTTCTTACGATTTGAAGTTGCTCAATTTCCAAAGGGTTACCTTTTGTCTCAAACAAATATATTTATGATCTGTTTGAACGTGCTCGTCTATCTAGCAACAAGACTGTTGATACACTCGTGGAGACTAATGTCAGGTATTCTCCAACTGATGGTGTGTTCTTATTAGATCTGGTTCACGTGGTTAGCTAGTTTGTTACAGCTCTTTTTACTGTTTATTGGGGGAGCTATTCTTCATATATAGAGATATCTTTGGGACACTCAGTTTTGCAGCCTTGCGTTTCCTTTTACGTCCTCTCTTGAGTTACATGCTTACAGTGATGATAATGATTGAGATAGTGATCCTCATGATCACAAATCCACCACTGGTTTTTGTAACTTTGTTGGAGATTTGTTGATTTTTGGAAGAGTAAGAAACATGACGTTGTCTTTTGATTTTCAACAAAGAATGAACATCGAGTTATGGTTGCTACCACTTGTGAAAATATTTGGCTACGTTGGCTTCTTAGAGACATGGGTGTTCACATCTTTAACGTCCCAATTTTCATAATAAATTTTTTTGTTTTTAAATAAAGATAAATACTCATTTTCATAAAGTGATAATCAAGATAAAACCATTTGTTTATAAACCGTAATTCAAAATCAAAGTAATAAAGAAAAAAACATTGTGAAATCTCAAATCATAAACTATTGATGTATGTGTATAGTCACGTCTTCGTCTTTCCATGAACCAAAGAACTATATGCATACAATGCATACAAACAAACTCTCGACTCTCGTGCTAATCCGCATATCAACAGGTCTCTTGGCTCTCAAGTCGATCCACCCAACAAGAAGTTTCAGGATGATGAGTCATCACCAACTTGAAGCTGAAGATGGCACGTTTCAAAACGATGATGAATCATCGCCTCAAGAATAACATAACTCTAGCTTGTGGTCTGTCATGACCTATTTTTCACTTATTTTTTCACATTGTATGTTTACATAGTATCATTTTTCTTTCTCTTTGTGTCTAATTCTCTACTCACCGTATTTCTTTCTATAGAAAACGATATGGTACTTTAGGTTGGCTTTGAAGACTTGCAATCGATTTTTTTTCTTTAAATCGGCTTTTATTTATATAAAAAATTACAAATTACATACATAATTATCGCCTAAGGGCGTGTTCGGCAAAACTAGCTGATAGCGGGTAGCTTGTAACTTGTAGTGTTTTGTTAAACGCTACATGAAGTAACTTTTGGATTTGGAGCGTTTTGTTTAAACTAAACGTTAGAAGCTTGTAGTGCCAAACAAGACTTTCTGTTCAAAACGGAGCGTTTTGTAAAACGCTAGAAGGTAGAAGCTCTCAAACGCTCCTAAACACTCCGTGCCGAACACGCCCTAAGTCACACTCTAAAATGGGTTGCTACGTTATGTAAAAAATCTTCATTGATCTTGCCGTCATATTACCTTTCAGGTTATTTAGAAGTTCGTAAAATAATCAAAACAGATTTTTTGAAAATAAAATAATTCTGAGTAGACATAATAGACTTTTTGATAATAAATAATGTTAGACGGGGTAAAATCGTAATTGCATCCCTGACAAAAAAATCTGCGAATAAATTGAAGGGCCAACTGTGCTTAGTGCTTGTATCACTATAAAAAGTATCGTAAACAGCTTCCACACCAACCAAATTAAACCTACTCTCTCAATATAATATTTTCAGGCGGCATTTCTATCGCCGATTTGGCATGCCTCCACCACCGCCACCCACTACCACTATCAAGAGAAGCACCAGCGACGGCGGTACCATCATACTAAACAAGTACCAACTCACCCACCTCTTGGGTCGTGGCAGTTTCGCAAAAGTCTACCATGGCCGCTCTCTCAACGACAGTTCCTCCGTCGCCGTTAAGGTCATCGAGAAACCAGCCACCGTAGATCCGTCGATGGAGCCAAGGCTTGTCCGTGAAGTCGCCGCCATGCGGCGGCTGAATCATCCGAACATTCTTAAACTCCACGAAGTCTTAGCGACAAAAACCAAGATTTACTTAGTGATGGAACTCGCCACCGGCGGAGAACTTTTCACCCAGCTCACCCTCCGCGGACGGATGAAAGAGGGCACCGCCCGTCTGTACTTTCAACAACTCGTCTCCACCCTCCACTTCTGTCATCAAAACGGCGTCGCACACCGTGACCTCAAACCGCAGAATCTCTTACTTGACAAAAACGGAAACTTAAAAATATCCGATTTTGGACTCTCGGCGTTGCCGGAATCTAAAAAAGACGGCCTCCTACACACTGCATGTGGAACTCCGGCATTCACTGCGCCGGAGATTGTCCGGGGGAAAGGCTACGACGGCGCTAAGGCGGATGCTTGGTCGTGTGGGGTGATTTTATTTAACTTCCTCGCTGGGTATTTACCGTTTGATGACAGTAACTTACCGGAGATGTACCGGAAAATCCACCAACGTGATATTCACTTCCCCGACTGGATTCCGAAGCATCCCCGGATCATAATTCAAAAACTTCTCGATCCAAAACCAAAAACCCGAATGAGCATCGAGAAATTAATGAGTCTTCCATGGTTCAAGAAATCTTTAAAACCTGATCCAACCCTGGAATTGTACGAAGAAAACGAATCTATTGATTTGAATTCGATGAAGTACAAGACGTCCATTAATGCGTTTGACATAATCTCGATGTCATCAGGGTTAAATTTATCGGGTATTTTTGAAGAAAAAACGACCAAAAAAGAGCAGCGGTTTACCTCCACGGCCAAGGCGGAGGAGATAGAGAAGACGGTGGCGGAAGTTGGGGAGAGATTAGGATATCGATTGAAGAAGAGTAAAGATAAAGAGAACTGCAGTAAGAGAGGTGATGTTGTTCGGTTGGTGAAAGGGAGTGCGATTGTTGTGGCGAAGGTGATGGAGGTGGTGCCGGAGTTGTTGTTGGTGGAGTTATCGGTGGTTGATGGCGGCGATGGGTTTAGTGAGGTTGAATGTGAAGCGTTGAAAGTCGGGTTTCAAGATATCATTCTTTCATGGCATAGTGATGTACAGTGAACCACCTTTTTTTGTAAAAGCAAATGGTGAAAGTGATTCCCTTTTTTTTAAGTTAATGATATTCTTCTTTTGTTACAAAATACAAATGAATAACCGATGTTAAGATCGATTAACTTTGTTGTAACTTGTAAGTATTTGTTTGGTTACCATTATGTGAGTTGAAGATGTGTTATGAATATGGATATGATTTACTAGATGATTGATTTAATCTATTGTTAAAGATTTGCCATTTGAGATCACAAAGTTAATTGTTTTATGGTAACTTTGATTTTTTCTTCAAGATATTTTTAGAGCTGCAGATTCTTTTATACAGGATGATATTAAAGGTAAAGGTACATAGACCCATCTAAAATATTGTGTAAAAAAGTGATTTTGGCCTTTCAGAAATTGATTCTTGAACCCCTTTCGATTAGAAAGGATTATCTTGTCATTTATTGTGAACGAGAGACATGACTAAATAATTAGTAACAAACTGGCCGAAAATTGACAACCATTACAACCAAATGATAATGAAAACATAATATACATGTACACATAAGTTTGATTGGCAAATGAACTATTGAAACCATATTGCATACAACATTGTAGATTGAAGTCATGATAATTTGGTCCAGAACACAAAAGGAAATATCATAGGTTTGTATAATCTTTTTAGGGGTTGCACTCCTAGGAAAAAAAAACTCATTTTTTACAACAGTTTCCATCACAAATCCGTCACTAAAGGGTTTTACCGATACATTTACACTAAATTTACATTTATTAGGACTTTGTGACGGATTTCCGATGGATTTGAGGGTTGTCCGTATTAAGGATAATGGACTATCCGATCCATTAAACACACACAAATAGATAGATTAAATCAAGTTGTAAATACTTAGTCAAAAGTATAGTCAAATACCTAGTTTAGCTGCTATTCACTCTCCTGAATATAAGGATGACTCAACTGTACAATTAGCCTATATAAGGCATACGTATCTTTAAATATATATGAATTACCAGCATCAATTGCAAGCCTTTATATGGTATCAGAGCCCTAAAGCTCCTCTGAGCCGAATCGATCCCCAAATTCTCAATCGATTCTCAAAATCCTTCTTTCCTGTTCGCTTCCACCATGTCTTCATCTTCAGTCATTGAAGTCACCGCTCAAACTCACTTCCCTATTAAACTTACAGCAACCAATTTTCCTGTTTGGCGTAAACAGGTCATGGCAACTCTAATTGGCCTTGGACTCGACAATTTCATCGATGGGCCACAAGAAACCCCATCCAAAGTTCTATCCACAGATGCTACCAAATCTAATCCAGCGTATCAACCCTGGTACAGGCAAGACCAAATTCTACTTGGTGCTCTACTCGGAAGCTGTTCAGATACAATCCAACCTATCATCTCTTTTGCAAAAACCTCTCGCCAGGCCTTCAAACGACTGAGTGACAGCTATGCAAGCATCTCTCGCTCACGAATTATTTCCCTTAAATCAAGACTCGCAAATAACCCAAGAGGCTCTAGGCCCGTTGCTGATTTTCTCAATGAGATGAAAACAATTGCAGATGAATTAGCCCTTGCTCAAAGCCCAGTGGATGAAGAATACTTAATAGTTCACATTCTGGGCCAACTTGGTGAAGACTATGTCCACATATCTGCTGCTTTAAAAATCCGAGACACCACAATCACTTTCCCTGATTTGTTCGACAAGCTTGTCGATCATGAGAGAACCTTAAAAGTCAACTCATCCTCACCGATTATAGCCACAGTCAACAACACCCAAAAATTTCAGAACCGCAACTCATCCAAACAGAACTCAGACAATCGCTCATTCAACAGATTCAACAACACCAACTCTGGATCTCGCTTCTCAGGAAATCGACCTCAATCTGCACCCACTGGCAATACCTTCTCAAATCGTAGTAACATAAATTCTGCTTACTGTCAATACTGTAACATCCCAGGTCACGATACCAAGGATTGCAGGAAACTAGCAAGATTTCTTAGGGAAAACAACATCCTCATCTCAGCCTCATCTCTAACAATCAACACCACTGCTACTGGAACGACTTCACCAACACCTCCATGGATGTTTGATAGCGGGGCTTCTCATCATGTGGCAACCAATCCTGCTTCTTTTCACACTCTATCGGAATATGGAGGACCCGATGAAATTGTGCTAGGAAATGGTATGAGTCTTCCAATCTCTCATATTGGTCAAACATCTCTCCCTGCTCATACTCGTTCTCTAAACTTAAACAATGTTCTCTTTGTTCCAAAATTACGTACTAATCTTGTTTTAGTAGCCAAACTCTACAAAACTAACCGTGTGTCTGTTGAATTCTTTCCATGTCATTTTGTTGTCAAGGATCTACGCACGAGGGCGTGTCTAATGCGGGGGGTGAACGTCAATGACATCTACTATGCTGCAATTAGATCTCTTCGGCAACTTCCTCAAATAAAGACTCTCACAACTTCTCATGACTCACTTCATTCATGGCATCACAAGTTGGGTCATCCATCAATCAAAGTCTTTAAGCATCTTCTACAAAGCTTAAAATTAGAGTCCAATAAACTGTCTACTACCTTTTTTCATTGTGATGCATGTTCCATTAATAAAAGTCATAAACTACCATTTGGTAGTAACTCATTTTCTGTTTCCAAACCACTTGAACTTGTGTACTCTGATGTCTGGGGTCCTGTCCAAAATTCAAATGATGGTTATAGCTATTATGTCATTTTTGTTGATTTTTACACAAAGTACACATGGTTATATCCCATGAAACGGAAATCTGATATCTCTGAATTATTTCCTCAGTTCAAAACCTTGGCTGAAAAATATCACAAAACCTCTCTTGTCTCTCTTTTCACAGATAATGGTGGTGAATATGTAGCTCTCACCCGATATCTTCAAGAACATGGCATTTCTCACTTTACAACTCCACCTCACACACCTGAACAAAACGGAGTTGCAGAGAGGCGACATCGCCATATTGTTGAGACTGGTTTATCTCTCCTCCATCATGCACGTCTACCTCTTTCCTTCTGGTCTCATGCATTCCAAACTGCTGTCTACTTAATAAATCGACTGCCCACCTCCATACTCAACAACATATCTCCCTACCAAAAACTATACAATTCCATACCCACCTATACCAAACTAAAACCCTTTGGTTGTATGTGATTTCCATGGCTCCGCCCTTATGCCACCACTAAACTTGACCCTCGCTCCACCAAGTGCATCTTCCTCGGTTACTCTCCATCAAAATCAGCTTACAAATGCTATGATCCATGCTCTCATAAACTTTATCACTCCTGTCATGTGGAATTTGTTGAACACACTTTCCCTTATGACACTCTTTCTACTGAAGCTGTCACACTCCCCACATCTGATGAATTTATCAGATCAACACCCTCCACCACCTACACACCCACTACTACGCGATTATTACAAACCACTCTACCCATTCCCACTCCATCCTCCACAGCCACCACACCAACCACCTCGCTTGAAAATTCAGCACCATCCTCTCCTTAATCACCAGAAGCCTCAACCTCTTCACCTACACCTATTCGCCATTATCCTCACCTCCATCCACACCGGCAGCCCAATTCACCCCCTCTCCACCATAAACTCCACCCCCCAGCCCCTTACCATCTCATCGAAATCGCAAACGCAACAGCAAATATTACAACCCTAACTTCATTAACACCACTACACTTCACCCAATTCCCAATACACTTGAACCTACCACCCACACCCAAGCTCAGAAAGATCCACAATGGCGCCAAGCTATGGAGGCAGCGTTCAATGCCCTTATCCATAACCAAACATGGGAGCTAGTTCCTCCGAAATTTCATCATCCTATTGGCTGCAAATGGGTCTTTAGAATCAAGCGCAAACCTGATGGGTCAATTGATAAATACAAAGCCCGCTTAGTAGCAAAAGGCTTTCACCAACAATACGGGAAGGATTATTTTGACACCTTTAGTCTCGTTACCAAACCTGTTACCATTCGCACAATACTCTCCATTGCCCTTTTCCAATGATTGGCTGCTCCATCAACTCGACATAAACAATGCTTTTCTTCAAGGAACACTCCATGAAGAAGTGTTCATGACTCAACCACCTGGTTACACTCACCCACAATTTCCTAACCACATCTGCAAACTCAAAAAGTCCATCTATGGTCTCAAACAGGCTCCTAGAGCCTGGTACACCGAGTTAGCCTCCTTTCTTCTTCAGTTTGGATTTCGGAAATCCTTGGCTGATGCCTCCCTGTTTATCTACAATTCCAACAGCATCATATGTTACTTCCTGGTGTACGTAGATGATATTGTTCTCACCGGAAACACCCCTAAGTTCCTGTCTCAGTTTATCTCAGCCCTAAGTGCCAAATTTTCTCTAAAAGATCTTGGTCAACTTCATCATTTTCTTGGTGTTGAGGTGATCCCTACCTCTTCTGGCTTATTCCTCTCTCAACATCGTCACATTCAAGATATTCTCACTCAATTCCATATGGATGGTGCAAAAGAGGTCACTACCCCTCTTAGCACCTCTGATTCTCTTACTCTCCTTGACTCCACTCCTACAATTGATGCTACTCCTTATCGACAACTTATAGGCTCCCTTCAATATCTAGCCTTCACTCGCCCGGACATATCCTATGCCATAAAGAAATTGTCCCAGTTTATGCATGCACCTCGCCAATCTCATTGGCAAGCCCTCAAATGGCTTCTACGGCACCTCAAAGGTACCATTCACTATGGGTTATTCCTCAATCGCCATTCTCCTATCACACTCACAGCTTTCTCCGATTCCGATTGGGGTGGTGTTAATGATGCAGGTAGGTCAACTACAGCTTATATACTATATCTTGGATCCAATATTGTCTCCTGGAAATCTACTAGACAAAAGTCGGTCTCGCGCTCCTCCACTGAAGCGGAATACAAAGCTCTAGCCAATGCATCAGCAGAACTTAGCTGGTTAAAGAATTTACTGATTGAACTTGGAATTA